GGGCCCGTTGGCAGGAGGCACTGCAGTGCCTGATGGCAGCAGGAAGGAAGGATCCCCAACAGCACGTCTTAGAACACCATGGTGGGACGAGCTGTTGGCTAATGATGCTCCAAGGCACCAGCTCATGAGAACACAGCAGGCAGCTCTATAGCCACACGCCTCCAGCTTTGTCTGTATGGGGCCTGTATGTTCTAGATAGTTCATGGATTTCCTCCTACAGTCCAAAAATACAGAAGCACCAATTCTCCTAATCATGAATTGCCATCGTGTTTGATTGTGTGTGTCCTCTGCCTTGCACACAGACTAGCAGATTCACTGTGACCATGTACTTAATGAGAAGTTTGAGCAGATTGATAGATATTTGCACTCATTGGAAAAGAAAAAAGGTTTGTTCAAAACTGGTGTATTTACAGCATCAGGGTGCAGAGAGGTGATGTTGAAAGCCTCCTTTAAGTCTCCCGGTCTACTAGGATTTAACCTGTTAATTGAAGAAAAAGAGGACAATTTAAAATACACATTTTGATGTGAACACTAAACAACCCAAAGACAAAAACATGAATTCATTCATACCGCTCAGTCTCGAGTGCGACCCAACCATGGTTATAAGTGTCGCTCGTTCTGCTGAGAGGGATTTTAACTTCTTCCGGGAGGAGAAAGAATTTTTTCGATATTTCCATAATATCATCGACCTGGACAGAGATGAATCATGTGAGCATAAATCGCAACTTTGTGGAGGCAAACAGAGAACTGAGTAGTGAAGAGGAGTAGTGAATGCGAAATAAGCAGTGATGCCGAAGGACCCAGTTTCAGGCCTGCAGCTCGCAAGCTCTTTGGGGCGTGGAGTGACTCAGTGAGTTAGGATACTGTGCCGGTGATCAGCACTGTGGTTAGGAGAGTGATTTTACCACTGGGCCCTTCTTTGGCGTCTGATAAAGAAACTATTTCAAATGTGAGTGACGTCATACTTAGCGATCACGTGCCTCTTCTTGGCCTATGCCAGTGTTCCTCAGATACACAAATCCTATTTCCGTGAAAGCTGCCCGTAGGCCCCGGCTCAGCTCCGTCAGCTTCTCATCTGGCACATTATCTCCGTGACGATAAACTCCGAAATCAAGCACAGGGATCTTCATATCGGAGTCTTTAAAAATACATATTAACAGGATAGGATCAAAATTATATTTGGAGTCTCAGATGTGAAAGATATGGAAGTGCGCTTCCATCATATAAATTAAGAAATACAGTAACAAATATAGTACCTGCTCAGGAGGTAAGATGCATCATGATTCATTAATGATGAACAAATATGAGATCAGTATTTCACTTGTGTTATTCATTAGTAGTTCGTTCAGTAGTTCACTGAGGTTTACAGAATTAGCTGTTGTGGTATCGTGGAAATCTTGGCCATGTTGATATACGAAATAATAATTTTAAGACAAGTCTTTCATGGTCAACAGTTATGACTTAGTAGCTTAAAATTATTTTTTATGTGGCGGAAAGATGCTTTCATAAAAAAACGTAAATAACTAACTTTACTGAATTCCTGTATAAACTGCACAGTGTTGTCAGTAGGGTGACCACTATGGAGTAAGATTGCTGTCAAAAATAACTCGTAAAAATGTACGTCAAATGTACGTTTCACAAGCGTAAATTACGCTTGCGCCTCTGAAAATTACGCTTGCTTCTGAAATTTACGCTTGCGCTTCTGAAAATTACGCTTGCTTCTGAAATTTACGCTTGGGCTTCTGAAAATTACGCTTGCTTCTGAAATTTACGCTTGCGCTTCTGAAAATTACGAGTGGATTCTCAAGCCTGAACAACCTGTCAAAAAATGTCATTGGACATACAAGGCATTCTCTAATCGAGGAAGAAACAATCGATTTTTGTTACTACGCATGTGCCGCAAAGCTGGAAAGATGGAGAACCAACCCAACCCGCCGAATTCACAAGTATTTCTATTAGTTTACTTGTTGTTGCACAACACTTTTTCTCGGTGTACAGAATGCAACAAAATTAAGGTAAAGTATGTTATACTTTATTCG